TACCTTGATCCTGTAACACCAAACAGTCAAATTAAACAAGCAATATACTGTACTGTATAGGAGCACATATTTAATTTTAAATCTGATCGAAAACAATACTGTGGTCATGAAAGAAAATTCACTTACCTTTTAATGTAAACAATACTCACAACAGCTCCTATTAACACAATGAGTAATACTCCCACAATCGAAAATATAATTTTTGATTTAAAATGACCTGCAGAAAACAACAAAGGAAACTAGGGGGTCAAATTTCCTTGATCCAGTCAAAATCAGAAGTTTAACATGACCACTGTCGACTGAGCTGATAGTAGTGTTGGTTTCACCTTACACTAATATTGACCATTGTCCTCAGAGCTGATTTTACTGATGGTGTAACCTTACAGCAGTACTGCATGTTGCACTAAGAGCAGATAGTAGTGATGACGTAATCATACAGTAGTACTGTCTTCAATACAGTGATCAAATTTCTCTTTCATCAACCAAATATCTTTGTGATTACCACAAAAAAAAGTTTCCTCTTAATTTTTTATTATCTATTAAGCTACATCAGGGGTGGGCAGTATTATCCAAAAAGGGCCAGTGTGTATGCATTTTTTTTTTGCTGCAACTCCTAATTAGATTACTAATTAGAGGACTGATTAGCTGAAGAGTCCTCACACCTGGGTTTGAACAGCTGACCTTAAAATGACATTAGACGAGCTAAAAGGAATGTCGAAAGGAAGATCGCATTGGAGGCTAAGGATGACGTTAAAAGTTTCTTCCAGTATTTTAACTCTAAAAGAGCTCTAAAAGCTGAAATGACTAATCTGCAGGATAATAAGGGTCTTATAATTGAAAGGTTATCCCAAAAACCTGCATACACACCGGCCCCTTGCGGATGAGACTGCCTACCCCTGAACTATATGCATGTAAAGTATTAAGAGTATTCACTGTCTTAAACTGCCAATACATACTAGAACAATTAAGCAATCATGCAGAATATTGCAAGGGGATGGTAAAATTACAATATTTTTTCAAAAATTACATAAGTAAATATTACCCTGGGCCGGTATGCATAAAACTTCCTAAGAATGGTCATACACTTTGACTTAAGAGGTTGTAGAAAGAAAAGTCTAAGCCCAATTCCTAAGTGCTGACAGAGCCAGCATGCAAGTGTCATGAAATGAGGACTACAAATAAAACCCTGCTCCAAATACTGAGTTCAACCAATAGAGGAGCTGCACGGTGAATATATTAGTGACATTAAACCGTTAATGTAGAGCTTTATACAACATACCTTTCTGTGATCATACCTTTAATTGGTTGTACGAAAATCTACCTACAGTAGCACATCACCAATCAATTTCCACTAATAGGATGCACACATTGTATTTATTATAGGTCAAACGCAAAAGTCATAGCAAGACAATGGATTCTAAAAGAAAACCAAACTGGACGACAAACGAAATGGTTCTTTTGGCACAGTTGGTGCATAAATGGAAGGAGGTAATGCGAGGAAAGTTTTGTGGTTTTGTTGTTTAATAAAATGTATGAAGAGACAACTACTTATAAAAGTGGTCTTACCTGGAACAATCAAATGTACTTCTTTAGACATAGTCTCCTTGCTGCCTTTTAAAGCACAGGAGTAGGTTCCAGAGTGATAGTAGGAGACAGGATTGAAGTGGAGTGTGGACTGTGTTTCTGGGAGTTGCTGGTTGTCCTTAAACCACGTCAATTCGAATTGACTGGAAGAGCAACTTCCTGTGTCACATGTGAGATTCACAGAATCTCCTTCTGTTAATGTTCCATTTCCTTTAAATGAGGTCATCACCACCTTTAACTCTAAAATCGCACAGTGTGAGATAGAAGTCAAGCAGAAAGTAAAGCATTAAGTTTCAGATACACTTGCTGTGTAATTAGCCTGTTATTGTAGTTATCCTCTTTCTGGTCCATATACTCTTTGAGAACCAC